GCAACGAGCACATCTATAGTTCACACAGTTGAATCAGGAAAGCATGTTTGTCGAGGATTACACACGAAAGTTCTATAGCTTCCCCACCCAATCCGAGTTTCCGTGGATTGAGGATGTAATGATTGCTATGTATAGGCAAGAGCTCAATTCAGAGATTTCTTCAGGGTTAGTTGCAAGTCTTCTTTACACTATGGTGGATGTAGTTCAGATTGCCTATCAAATGGAAGATGATATGAAAAATAAGGCTTCTTTGAGGCTTTCTAGGGTGTCTATAACTCAAAGTGACAAGAATTTTGTGGATACAAATCTAGATAAGCCATTTGGTAAACCACAAGAGAGTGATTTTGTCTCTAATAAACCAACTCACCCTAGTGTTACTTCTAATTTTCAAGGGGGAGTTAACCCTAATGCCAAGTCGAGATGCTTTAATTGTCAAGGGTTTGGTTATCTGTCTTTCCAGTGCCTTACAAAGGTTGCTGCGACAATTGAAAAGGAAATCCCTGGCTAAAGAATCTAATGAGTCAGATTTCGAGATTCAAGTTGTGGAGCCTTTTGATGTTAATGAGGTTGATTTTGATGATTTGATTGACAGTCCTATATTGGGTACTATTCGTCCTCTATCTATTGGAAGTAAGGTTACCACTGAGAAGCCAAAGTGTCGAGGGAAAAAGCCTTCATCATGGATTCCTCGAACTATTTCATCAGATGGTATTCTTAGCCTTCCTTCTTACTCACCGGAGTCGAGTTTCTTTTAAAGGGGGAGAATTGATGGCGTAGTTATAAGATGGTTGGGCCACTGTGACCGAATCTGGAAGCCTAGGCGAAAGGCTAAGAGTTTTGGTCCAAAGGGAAATGTATTTTGTAGATTTGTTAGGATTTTTATTTGTTAGTAGGGATAAGTTGATAGAGTTTTAGTTTGAGTAGTTCATTTATGATAGGACACTTAGTCTATGAATAAGGATGTACTCTACATTATTTTAATCAGAGTTGAATATTAATTTGAGAATTCTCTGCAAAGATTTATATTTCTTGACCTAATCCTTTCGAGGATTGGTTATCCCTTTTCTTTCCTTTCCCCGTCTACATTAAGCACCTAAGGGAATAGGATCAGGAGACGACAAAGAAGACGGTCGGGGTTCCTCATCCAATTATCATGGAAGACAAGAGTATACACAGAGCGAGAAAGGGGTGGAAGTGGGTGGTAGCACAGCAAGCAACAGTATAACCGACGGTAAGGAAAAGGGTGAGGGTGGAGTTAACACCCCAAAGTCAAGATCCAAAGGCAGAGCAGAAGCTAGAAAATACCGAACTAATTCAGCAAAGGTGATATCAGCACTAGTGAAATAACAGCAAAGTGCAGGACGATAGCAACGATACCTTTTTTATGGGCCGGAGTAACCAAGGAAGACACATTTGGTAGCACGAGAGTCAAGTTTATCAAACCCGGGATCCAAGTTGTGAAAATAACAAATACACCCAAAAATCTTAGGAGTTAAAAAAAATAAGGGAGAATTAAAAAAAATGACACAATATGGACATTGTCCATTTAACAAAGAAGATGACATATGGTTATTAAGGTAACATCACTCTAAAAATATCGAAGAACATTCATCTGAAATAAAAATGCGTGGGTAACTTCCAACAATGCCAGTTTTACAAAGATAAGACGAAAAAAGATCAAATTCATATTTATAAGCACTATCAGAACATAAAATACGAATACGATAACCATATTAGGACTGATTTTTTTACGAAAGGTCTCAAATATAAAAAATAATTCAGAACGAGCTTTCATAAAAAATAACTACATCACACAAAAATAATCATCCACAAATAATACAAAATAAGAAAATTTATTAGATGAAATATTCTTTATTGGACTCCATACATCAGAATGTACTAACTCAAAAGGACTAGACATACGGTTATTGACTCTAGACTGAAAAGACACATGGTAATACCTACTAAGTTGACAAGCTTCGTAAAAGACACAGATGACACATAACTAAGGTTAGGAATTTCATGTTTCAGATTTTGGACAGAGGGATGACCAAAACGACAATGTCACTGAAAAAGAGATGATGAGGTCTGAAGTGCCCAAGGAATTGAATTAAGGCCAAAGTAATACAGACCACCAGCTTCATGTCTCATATCAATCTTCCTCTTCGTCTAGAGATCTTGAAACACACAATAAGAAATATAAAAGGTTACTAAACAATTAAGGGAGTGAGTAATCTTGTTAATAGAAAGTAAACTAAAAAAACTGAGGCACAAATAAAACAGATGATAAAGACATATCAAGACTTAATTTAGTAGTCCCCAAACCAAAAACCTTAAAGGAAGGATCATTAGCAAGAGTGACAATGTGTGGGGAAGTAACAAAATGATAAGTAGAGAAGAAACCAGACAAACCAGTCATGTGGTCAAAAGCGTTGAAGTCTATGATCTAGGGACTACGGGTGGAGGATAGGAAATAAGTGGAAGAGGTACCTAACTGGGTAAAGGTAACAGTGGAAGAAGATGGAGCAGCCTACTGTCGAGACATGAACTGAGTATATTCCTCTCGTGTAATAGTAACTAACTCAGAGTCGGGAGGAGCCGACTGAGATATGGGAGCAGACAGAGAGGAAATGTCATTCTTACATGAGACTTGCTTAGCAAAAACAAAGGGTCTGCCATGTAAATCTTAACAATAATCAACAGTGTGGTTTGGATGACATGAACGAGGACCAGTACAACCTCCCAGACCTCCACAATTGTCGCGATTGCCACGGCTACCCTGAGGACTATCAGTGTTGCAATTAGGGACAACAGGTGCTGAGCGATCAATGGACAAGTCATGATTAATACCGGAAGTCAAAGAGGTAGTAGACAAGGTGACACATTGTAAACAAGAGAAAATCTTAAGAAGAGATAGAAGACTAGAACCATCCAAAATCCGAGAGCGAATAGGTTTATATAAAAGTTTCAAATCAACAAAAAAGCGAACAACATCCAAATCCTTACATTGTCCCTGCAAAACTGTAGCATTAGTGGTGAAAGGGTGGTAAACTTTTAATTCCTCACAGATACCTCGAACTTAGGAGTCATAATCTTCTAAACTCAGAGTACCCTGCTTAAGACAAAAATATTGTTTGCAAACCTAATGCACAAGTAAAATTACTTGTGTCATAATATATAGTTGTCAAATGATCCCAAATCTCTTTGGCAATGTCAATATAAAGAAACATAGAGGTGATATAAGTCTCAATGCTGTTTAACAATAAGGAAATAATCTGTGTATCCTCTTGTTCCTACTGATCGAATCCAAGGTTGGTAGCCTTGGGTTTGGTTCCCAACTAATACTTTTTGAGGTCCTTTTGCTTAAGAAAGACTTGAACTAGACCGTAAAACGTAATTAGTACCATTGAGCTTGACAAAAGTCATGGGACTATTAAGAAGAATCGTCGGGGATGGTGTGGGTGGCAAGGTAGGAGCAGTGGTAAGAGACGGAGTGTCTGTCTTGGGGTCCATAGAACAGAACTGTCAAAATAGAGGCTAAACCGGTGGGAATATAGGTTGAACCAGTTGAAGAAGCACCAAACTTGTTAAAATATTGGCTGAACCGATGGAGAAAGAGCATAGAACCTACAGAAACGCTCTGAATCAGCTAAAGCAGCAGTAAAGGAATATAGACTGAACCGGTCGAAACCAGGGTAAAAATCCCACTAAACCGGCTGAACTACTCTGAACTGTATGTAAAATCACCTCTGAATCGTTTGGAAATCACGGAATGAGATGGGAAGGTACAAAAGAGGGGTGAACAGTTTGAAAACAAGCATGAACCGACACTGAACCGGTTGGAACTGAGCCTAAACCGACTGAACTAAGCCTGAACCATCTTGAACCGGTTTGGACCACACACGAGGTTGGGCTTGAGTACCACTTGGGCTGTATCACTTGAGCTGGGCTTGAGTACCTAGATCCAATCTAGACTGCGCTGTATGAAACAATTGGGCTGGACTTGGGTTATTTAAATAACCGGTAACTCTGGGTTAAATAAAACCCAATGGGTTAGCCCGAACCACACCCAAAGCCTAGGCTTCATCTTCCTCCCATGGGGTTCAACTGGAACCCTAAATCAATAGGAAACAACAGCGGCGACACTCCACAGCCGCCACTCCAGTCCTCCGATAGCAATAATGACAGCCTCTAGTCCTCGTCTTCTTCACGCAGGGTTCAACAGAAACCCTAGATCAACAAGAGACGATGACAACACTCCACAACTGTCACACCAAACCTCCAGCAATAACAACGACAACCTCCTTACCACTAGCAACCACCACAAGCCAACAACACCAGATTTACTGTGACAAACGAGCAGCCAACCCAATCGTCCACATCTCAACACCAACACATCAATATACACAGACACAATCCATGGAGAAACAACACAATCACCACCCATACTCTTAGACCATGGGCATGGATTACACAACACGGGAAAATTGAGAAGGAAATAAAAGAAAAGAAAGAACAATATTGCTTAGTTCAAATTTTCAATTTAAAAAAAAAAAAATTCAAGGTCAATCTTCAAATCAATATCACTCTGATACCATGTTAAGTTTATAAAATAGTGATATATTTATCACAATATGAAAGAGGCAGAGAGTGATAGAACTTAACCTACCTCTCATTAACAACTTGTATTTATAGTTATCTCATAAGCATACAAAGGACAAGTATGCCCTCCAAGTGGTATACATATTACAACCATATTAAATAGTAATAACATAGTAATACTCTCAACATGTGGCAATTAGCAAGTTGATGTATATTTCATTCACGATAAAGTTTATATGTCAGGTTGTGGCCCGCCAAATTAGACTAAGAATACCTATCTAATGTTATAACCATGCCATATGATGTATTGTTTCTCATATCACAAGCCTAAGCTCTAGTTCCATGACAGTAGAAGGATAGAGCCCTACAAATTAGATCAAAAGTAAGTCTGCATTGAACTAAGAGTACAAACTGACCTTGGCATGTAGCACACCATTGGATACCAAGACAGATCTATCAAATACACAAAAACTCCTGCCATCCATGCAAGAAACCGTACCGCCTGCCTCTTCAACCATCTGCTTAAAACATAAATGAACTCGATGGAATAAACTATCAAAATACAAAATAGGCACAACAAGAAGTGTTTTTTAGGAAGTAAGATATTGGCATTTGGATGACTTGCAAAAGTGCTTTAAGGAATTATCACATCTCCTATGTACTTTGCATAAAAAAATGTGGTTTGGAACAACTTTTTTTGAATTAATTTCAAACAACTTGAAAGTAATTTTACCACTTAAGTAAGCACTTCTTATTTTTGCCTTTATCACCATCACCACCATGAAGGCCACCTATACCAACATCATCCGCCACTACCACCACCATCACCGGCAATCACCGCCATCATCAGCCCCCATTTGTAAAGAGATCTTGTATTCCACATTGAATAATTAGGATCACCTAAAGTTAGTATATATACTTGAGGGGTCATTTTACTCATTGCTAATTAATTTTAAATTTCACCACCACCATCATCGTTACTATTTAAGTGGGTGGGTAAGTGGACGTGTGTGGGGTCGGGAACATATTTGTAATTGTGACACAGATAAGATGTGTGTGCATTCTAGAATATATTAACAATTGCAACAAAGATAATCGTATTTTTGCTGATCTATTTCTTTTAGTGTGGAGGAATAGTGTGTGAACAAATAATAAATACTTGAAAAGTACTTCTAATAAATAGTTAACTTGGAAGTACTTCACGCATTTCACAAGTCATCCTAAATGCAACCTTTGAAATATTTCTAATCTCCTCAATATTGTCCATCTTCTAGACATATGGGAAGCACAAAGTTACTATTTTCTCAAGTACCTAACAATCATATCATGGCAATAATGCAAATGTTGATGGGAGGCATCTAAATATTTCTCTAAAATTCTGATCCTCTCAGAAACCAAACTTTAAGTGGAAGCTTAAAGTACATGATCTTTGGGGCAAAGAAATGATGCATAAATCAGTTATGTCTGCGTCAATTTGGCTCGTAACAATGTTGTTGATCAGTCGTTTACAATACACACACACACACACACATATATATAGAGAGAGAGAGAGAAAATGTTTGGAAATAAGCTAAATTTAAGTCAAAGGGCTAACTTGGTAGCCATCAATCACAGCAACCATTAGCAGAGTAAAGAAACAAAGGTGATAACTATTTAATTTTCTAGTACGGAGGTCCCAAGATCGACCAAGAATTTGGTGCATCTTCATTAGTTCCTCTAATATAGAACTTGGCCATGCACATCTAAAGGAAGTGTTAAGATATATGAGAAAGAATAGCATTACCAAAACACTAGCAGCCATATCCCATGGTTTTAGACGGTATTCCCAATATGCTTCTACAATCCCCAGAGCAACATGGCACATGTCCACTGCAGCAGCACCAAGCCTTCTCACACCCTATACAAACAAGTGCCAAAAGGGAGAGAAAGAAAGGACAAAACTTTTAGCACAATACCTTCGATAAACACCCTTCCCAACTATGATGTAGAGACAAAGCAACTTAGGCGCAAAGATTAAAATTTCGTATTGAAACAATCAAAACAACCAAAAACGTTCCTGTTTAATAGGAGACTGAAACGAATTAGTGATGAAATCAAAATTCTAATACTTCATGGTGTTTCTAGGTGTTTCGTAATGTTTTGACCCATTTACACAATTATTTCGTAATGTTTCAAGGTATTTCAAGATGCTTTAGTATATTTCTACCAATGTTTTGAAAAAAATAATTCCCAAATTTTTTATTCTTTTTCATTATATTTTCGAAACATTTTCGTTTTCTTAGTGACCGAAATAATGCACCGAAATGAAATTTTAATTCTTGCTTAGGAGAGATCATCGCCTTGTGCTGTGGTAAAATGCATGGCTACCAATTGGATGGTTTCAAATCAGAAGGCTGGCACTCTATGCAAATAATACCAATAGTTATGTTTGTACTCAATCCAGCCCTCAAAGTACCCTCATTTAACAAAGTCAAACTAGGTAATAACTTTAGACAAACCGAGTTAGAGTAAGGAATATAAAGAGAAAAGAAAAGGTACTACCCGGCTTGTGTCAGTAAATTCTTTAAATAACTCTATGTTGGTAGCCCATGCTTCATCATGTTCATACCCAAACCCTGTTACTAGTAGAGATTGCTCCACCTAAACATAAATGCAAAACATTTAAGCACACAAAGAATGAAGAGGGTGAGGTACGCTGTGGCACAGAAATATAGTTTTTCAGAAAAGTATACTAGTAAAAGAAAAAAAAAAGAAAATCTTTAGAAGCTATGAACTTATCTGGAGTGTCAAACCACTTAATATTTGGCTTGATTGTTTTGTAACCAGCAGTTATTGAAAGTAGGAAAAGCAGCATGATAAATGTAACAAATAGAAATAGTTTGCTTGTACATGCGGTTTCAAAAAGAATACAAAGCTCAAGCATTTCCGGGGACAGTCTTGAAGCCATATAAAAATTGCCAGAAGTTATGTTTGTGGCTCATACTTAGTCAGTTACTCTCATCATGTGCATCACCTCCAAAATTAAATATCATATCAGACCAGGAACCTCCTAATNCAAAAGGGAGAGAAAGAAAGGACAAAACTTTTAGCACAATACCTTCGATAAACACCCTTCCCAACTATGATGTAGAGACAAAGCAACTTAGGCGCAAAGATTAAAATTTCGTATTGAAACAATCAAAACAACCAAAAACGTTCCTGTTTAATAGGAGACTGAAACGAATTAGTGATGAAATCAAAATTCTAATACTTCATGGTGTTTCTAGGTGTTTCGTAATGTTTTGACCCATTTACACAATTATTTCGTAATGTTTCAAGGTATTTCAAGATGCTTTAGTATATTTCTACCAATGTTTTGAAAAAAATAATTCCCAAATTTTTTATTCTTTTTCATTATATTTTCGAAACATTTTCGTTTTCTTAGTGACCGAAATAATGCACCGAAATGAAATTTTAATTCTTGCTTAGGAGAGATCATCGCCTTGTGCTGTGGTAAAATGCATGGCTACCAATTGGATGGTTTCAAATCAGAAGGCTGGCACTCTATGCAAATAATACCAATAGTTATGTTTGTACTCAATCCAGCCCTCAAAGTACCCTCATTTAACAAAGTCAAACTAGGTAATAACTTTAGACAAACCGAGTTAGAGTAAGGAATATAAAGAGAAAAGAAAAGGTACTACCCGGCTTGTGTCAGTAAATTCTTTAAATAACTCTATGTTGGTAGCCCATGCTTCATCATGTTCATACCCAAACCCTGTTACTAGTAGAGATTGCTCCACCTAAACATAAATGCAAAACATTTAAGCACACAAAGAATGAAGAGGGTGAGGTACGCTGTGGCACAGAAATATAGTTTTTCAGAAAAGTATACTAGTAAAAGAAAAAAAAAAGAAAATCTTTAGAAGCTATGAACTTATCTGGAGTGTCAAACCACTTAATATTTGGCTTGATTGTTTTGTAACCAGCAGTTATTGAAAGTAGGAAAAGCAGCATGATAAATGTAACAAATAGAAATAGTTTGCTTGTACATGCGGTTTCAAAAAGAATACAAAGCTCAAGCATTTCCGGGGACAGTCTTGAAGCCATATAAAAATTGCCAGAAGTTATGTTTGTGGCTCATACTTAGTCAGTTACTCTCATCATGTGCATCACCTCCAAAATTAAATATCATATCAGACCAGGAACCTCCTAATTCCAGCATCACCCAAAATTACAGAATATAAGAAAAAAGGCCCCCCCCCCCCCCTATTTGAGAATGTAGTATGAATATGGCATATTGCCTCACCTTGTCTGTTTGACTAACATGAATTTTTTGCCCATTACAAAATGCACCTCCACCTTCAAAAATATGGATTACATAAACCATAACCCTGCTTTAGAATTTGTCAAATGAAGAGCAAGTCATGTAACTGCTTAGATAGAACCTTCATACCAGCAGCTGCAGAAAATGTGCGAGTGTTCCAACACATAGGGCCTCCAACAAACTCCACCTAAAATACAATCATATCCTCAACATTACTTACACTAGCAATAAAGATATTATAACTGACAAGTGGCTGAAAGTAGCCTTCTTTACTCTAAGAAATTCAATTTTAACACCAAAGACATCTTCAAACATCTTCAAGACACATAGCATTGGGTAAAAAGATAAAGTTTACACCCAAAGTTAGTGGGAAACTAGTGTAGGTCAATGAAGAGGTTTATGGCTACCACAAATCATATCGAGATACTCGAGCATAAAACAAGGACCACCATCCCCGAATTATTTGTCCAACAAACAAACATCAAAATATCGTTCGAAACGGTCAAAACATCTGAAACGTTTCCGTTTTTAAAGAGATCGAAACGAATTAGTGTTGGAATTGAAATTTTAATACTTTGAGGTGTTTCATAATGTTTCGAAATGTTTTGTTATATTTCAATGCATTTGTCATAATTATTTCAGAATGTTTCAAAGTATTTCAAGATATTTTGGTATATTTCGACCAATGTTGTGAAAAAATAATTCTTAAATTTTTTATTTTTTTCAAATTCTATTTTCGAAACAGGTCAAAATATTTCCGAAACACGTCAAAACATTTCCGTTTCCTAGATGACCGAAACAATGCACCGAAACAAAATTTTGATACTTACGCAATGATCAAAATTTGTTTCGAAATATCCGAAATGTTCTCGTTTTCAAGGAGGCCGAAACGAAATAGTAATAAAATCAAAATTCTAATATTTTGAGATGTTTTATAATGGTTCGAGGTGTTTTTTGTATTTTGTAATGTTTAATGCATTTGTACAATTGTTTCGAAATGTTTCGAAATATTTCAAGATATTTTGGTATATTTTGACCAATATTTTAGAAAAATAATTCTTAAATTTTTTATTTTTTTTATTCTATTTCCGAAATGGATCGAAACGTTTCTGAAATACGTCGAAATATTTCCATTTTTTAGGTGACCGAATCAATGCACCGAAACAAAATTTTGATCCTTGGTGTTAGGTTTGTACACTTTACCACCTATTTATAATTTTATACTAGTTTGATATTCATAATAGGAAATGAAAATATTAGGAAAGAAGGAAATTCTAATAATTTACACACTACCCCCTCAAGAAAATTGTCTAGCTTGGAACAAAGATTGCAAAAGGTGGATCGCGTTAATGGTTTGGTAATAACATCACGGATTTAATCACCAGATTTGACATAAGTGATAATCCCCTTTCCCGTCAAAAGTTCCCGAATAAAATGATAATCAACTTCAATGTGTTTGTGCCCTAATGAAATAGGATTATTGGAATATTGGCAATAAAAATGATTGTCTGATTGTCACAATGCATCTACATAGAAGATGACACATCAATCCCTATCTTACAAAATAGAAAACAAATCCAGAACATCTCACATGAAATATGATTCATGAAACGATACTTAGCCACTACACTAGATTTGCCGCCACATTTTGTTTCTTATTATGCCATGTAAAAAGATTACTGCCCAATAAATGTACAATACTCAGAAATAGACCATCTATCACAATGACTATCAACTCAGTCACCATCAGAACATTCGAAATAGATAAAGTGGACGACGATCGATATTTTTCTTTTCTTTGCCTCTTATTTGTAGCATCTTGACATTTATTTTCACAACAATCTCAAGAGTAGAATAACATGTATGCCACAATTATAAATAAGACTATTCTAGATGTGACAAAAAATCAAGTCTTTCAATGGGTCTAATTTTAAAGGTTGGTGACAAAGAATTTTGACGCTATTAGATATTACAAGTGTTTCCTTTGTTTTGACTGATTTGAAACCAAAAGAAAATTCGGAAAATTATGAAAAGGAAAAAGAAAATGGGAAAAAGGTTGATAAGATTTGTCAAAATACTATCTTGAATCTCTTTCAAATGAATTATTTGATGTTTACTATAATTATAAGCATGCTAGAGAGATTTGGCATAATTTGGTGAAAAAGTTTATTGTCGAAGATGCTGGAATTAAAAAGTATGCAATAGAAAATTTCCTAGAATATAAAATGGTTGAGGATAAGGATGTGTCCTCTCAAATTCAAGAGTATCATCAAATTGTTAACGAGTTACTGAATAAAGGAATTACTTTGAGTGAACCATTTGATGTCGGTGCCTTGATTGAAAAATTCCCCGGGTCATGGAAAGTTTACGAAAATAATCTCAAACATCAAAGGAAGGATATGTCTTTAGAAGATTTCATCATCCATTATAAGATTAAGGAGCAAAGTTGTATGAAGGATAAATTGTGAAGGCCAAAAATTTCTAAGGCCAAAATTGCGAAGACAACGAGCATGGTAAAAGGAACCACAATGGAAAAACAGTTGCATAGGGCCCAAGGTCTTAATTTCAAGAATAAAGGTAATTGTTTTTGTTGAAGTATAAATACTAATGTTACACCATCTCTAAGAGTTTAAGCTTAAGTTTAACATTTTGTAGTGGATGATTATTTAACATGATATCTGGGCAGGACGTCCTGTGTTCGAATCAAGCCACTACCCTAATTATAAAAAAGTTTTCACGTGCTAAATCCAAAATTTAACCAGCACATGAGAAGGCGTATTGAAGTATAAATACTTAAGTTACACCCTATCATTAAGCTTTTGGAGTAGATAGTTGTTTTAATAGTTTTATTTGTGAAAATATAGGACATCATGCTCAAGAATGTTGGCAGCGAAAGCAGAATGAAAAACTTGTCAAGCCGAATGTCAATTTAATTAAGGCAGATGACATCATTGTTGCGGCAATTTTCCAGGTAGTCGTGGTTGCCACTACAAAAAATTGGTTGATAAACTCTAGGGCTACCAAACACATATATGGCATTAGAAGTGCTTTTACCTCCTACATTCTTGTAAGGGACGAAGAGGAACAAGTATTTATGGGTGACTCTAGAACCTTGCCAGCTATGGGTAAAGGAAAAGTGGGACTAAAGTTGACTTCCGAAAATCTTCTCACTGTCTGATGTGCTCTATGTGCCTGACATTCGTTGGACTTGGAACTTGGTGTCGTTACTTGTCTTGAATAAGGTGAGGGTGAAAGTATTAAAGTAACCTTTCAGAGTGACAAGATTATCATGATAATGAAAACATTGATAATACAATTGAAAGAAAAGTAAAATAAAAGAAAGAGAGTATATTATTGTTGTTCAACTTATCTGTCTTACAGCTTAACCTAAGATATAAAATAGAGGCACTTATATAGTACGGCAACACAGGATAAAGTAAATGCCTAATCTACCTATAATACCAATATACTAAAAAACTTTAGCAACCCCTTCAAACTCATGATGTGCTAGCAGAGAATATCAAGAGTTTGCCAATAAGAAAACAAAAGTGCACTATAGTATGAAATTTCGTAAAGAAATCCGCTAACTACATAATAGAAGAAATAAGGGGGAGAGAGGTAGTGCTCAATTGGAAATGATGGCGCACAAAGTGACAGTCAATCTCAATATGCTTTATATACTCATGAAAGACCAAGTTGTGAGCAATCTGAATAGAACTAGTGTTGTCACGATACATAGGGGTAGAAACAGATAAAGAGATGTCAAAATCAGCAAGCAACTATCGTAACCAGACTATCTCCGTTGTGGTAGATGTCATAGAACGATACTCAACTTCAGCTAAAAAATGAGTCACAACAATTTGCTTCTTACTTTTTCAAGATATAAGAGAATTATCAAGAAATATATAAAAAACAGTGGTAGACTTGTGATCCATACTATCCCCAAAAAAATATCAAAGTAACCTTAATCCCCAAAAAAATATCAAAGCTGACCCAAATCTTTTATCTCAAAATGAAATTGTAACTGATCTTTCAATAGTTCTATTCCAACAATGTCATCACCAATAATAATCATATCATCAACATAAAGTAAGAGAATAATAGAGCCTAAAGAAGTGGAGCGCAAAAAAAGAGCAGAATCATGATCACTAGCACGAAAACCCAAATAACAAATGACTGATGAAAACTTGACAAATCATGCCCTAAGAGCCTATTTAAGGCCATATAAAATCTTATGAATTCTGCATACTTGACTAAGACTATGAGACATTCCAAGAAGAAGTGTCATAAAAACCTCTTCAGATAAGTCTCTATGGAGAAAAGCATTTTCCACATCTAGCTGAGACAAGCTCCATTGACGAATGGCGGCTACTACAATTATAGTACGTATTGTGGTCATCTTGGCATCTAAGTCATACTCTTGAGCAAATCCCTTGATTACTAACCGAGCCTTATACCTTTCCACAAAATCATCAGATTGATTTTGATCTCATAAATCCACTTACAACTAATGGTGCATTTGCCAAAAGGGTAAAGATACTAACTTCCAAGCTCGGGTCTTATGTAGGGCAGAGAGCTCCTCATCCATTATATGTTGTCAAAGAGGATCAAATATAGCCTCCTTGCTGGAGGTGGGTTCAGACAAAGAATAAATAAAAGAGAGAAATGAATAAAAATCAAAAGAATAGCAGGAGTTAGAGAAACAAAACGTATGTAGACACTTCCAAGAGCATTGAGGATGTCAAAGAGCATAATCCACGGTGTCAGAATCTAATTGAGTGACAAGAGGAGAAGGGAGAGACACAGCATCAAGAGAAGAGACAACGAGAGTGCTGCGAGCATAGAAAAGGAAGTCACATCAGAGATTGTCATATCACGAATATAATGGTCAGTGAAAATATCAGCTAGAAATAGATTAATGTAAATGAGATCAAATTTATGCAAATATGAAGAACTGGTTGGAATAGATTGGAAGGAAATATGTTTTATGAAAACAACATGACGAGAAACATAAAATTTGTGTAATAGGATCATAACAACGATACCTTTTTTGGTCCTTACCATAACCAAGAAAAACATAGGGCAAAACGAGCAGAAAGTTTAGTACAAAGAGCAGTGGGAAGTAAGACAAAATAGGTGTATCCAAACAGACGCAAGGAAAAATAATTAAGGTGGCTTACCACACAATTTTTTAAAATGAGAGATTCTAGAAGGGGGGACAGTAGGAATACAATTAATTTGATGAACCGCAGTAAGAACTGTTTCCCGCCAAAAAAAACTTGGAACATTTGCACAAATAATGCTATTAGATTTTA